GGTTTGGCTCTTGTAGGCACCGGGCTTTTCCGGCATTCCGTAACGGTGGGCCCGCATGCATCCCGTGATCGGCCCCACCTGAAGACCAATGCCAAGGGCTCCAAAGGAAGAGTAGGCTTCTGGACAAACATAGTACCTTTTGTTGAAAAAACCCCAAGCGGGTTACACCTGTGCGAGGACTAGTAGACCCATGTTGTTTTCAGTTTCGTCTGTGCTAAGAAAAAACACTACTGCTACCTGCAAAGTTGTCTCTTAGGCCCCGTGGCTACAACAAAACTATGGGTAGAGATCCCAGGGACAGGCAAACATGAGACCCGCAAACCGTTTAGTATGCACAGTGTGCTGTAAAGACACTGACAACTTGACAAAGTAATTCTGCACACATCACATTCCCCTTCCTCCCAAACCTGAAACAGGCATTCTGGATTGAGTATCAGAAGAGCACAGAAGGGAAGGAGCCGCTTGCCCTCCACTTGGGATCACTGACCAGTCTGCTATCATAAATGGCCAAGGTACATCAAAGCCTTTTCATAGGACGAGTAATGAAAAGATGCTGTTCCACACTCCAGGAGTGTTACAGCAATGGCAAAACATCAATTTGCAGGCCAGCTATTTAAAAAATGGCAAGTGCTTAAGTATTGCCTAGACCTATGCAATTAAGCTTTAACAGCTCGGAGCACCCCTGTGTATGACAACAAACCATCTCCCCTGTACCAGATTCCTTGGATTAGGCTCAGAAACAGTTAATGTGCCCAGCTGAATGACAGATACACACCCACAAATAAATCATACAGATGAACCAGTAACTCATCTGTCCCGTGACACCACGTTCAAAGTTCACAACTGCTCTCAGGAAAACAAACCCAATGTTAATGGCAAACATGCCAGCATCTGGTCTCTGCTTTTACCTTTACAGAAATATTCATCTTTAGTAGATGTATAAAGAGATTTTTCAACAGAATTTAAGGTTGCAATTTTGATCCTACAAAACTATGATTTATTTTTTTTAGGATAAAAATAACAGTAATTCCAGTTAAGTGCAAATTTCACTTAAGATATGACATCAGTGTCCAGTCTTCGCAGCCAGCAACATTATGAGATATATTGTACCTGTTTCTTCATGTATATATAAAAATTCTGGAAAAAAGTACTACGTGAATACCAAGAAGTCAAAAGTGTGCCTTTCAGTAAGGAAAGTGAGGTTTTTTTACTTGGACATCATCAACATGGATGAAAAATGGTCAGAACTCCTAAGCAATAGTTAGTGCAGTTGATAATTTTATGATTCCACCTGTTTTCCAACTAAAAAGAAACTTCATGAAATAAATGTAGTAACTTTTTCATATCATTTAAGTGGAAATGTTAAATAAGTTTAAGCACAAAATAAAATCTTTGAAAATTTACTTTCATAGAACCAGTTTACTATGATCAAAGTACTGTTTAGTACAGAAGTACTTATGACTGAATTTGTCAAACACTTCAAATTGACGAGTATTTTTAACTCAAAATGTCAATAAAAGCACATTATTTCCTAAAAGTAAAAAGTTGCATTATCAGTATAGAAGCACAAAATACAAGGGTTTTGCAACTATTAAAACCTCTGCCTACAACATTTTGCTGTGAGAAACCTCATCTCTTAAATACACACATTTCTGAAACTGCATTCTCAAGTGGGTATAGCCATGGGGATAAATACTTAAGTAGAATAAACTTCTGCTTTTAAGCTTGTACTGATCTCTCTGAAGACTGAAATAAAATGTTTTTCTATATATTTACCTTTTTTTTTTACCAACTGTATTTACATTTGTTTGTTTCTTGTAATTCTACTGCGAAGTCCCCATTTACTTACAAGATCAAGTAGAGGATCTGTAGAAATGATTGCTTATTGGGACCAGAAGAGGGAGCTCAAATTAACGTTTTTATTTATTAAGTTAAAACAGCATGAAACAGTGTAGAGTGTAAAGGCGAAGTTACTTTTAAAACATTCATTAGTCACTCTGATATATTATGCATTTAAATTGAAGTAACAGATTAACCTCTCAGATCGGCATCTGGAGTAATGGTAGTGTAGGTCAGGGTTACGGTAAATGGCCTTTTTTAATCTGTCAATTTGGGCAACTGAGCCTTCCATCCCCTCTTCACTCGAACTCCAGCCATCTCCATCAGTCACTGTACGACCTGCATGCACTCCTCAGAACTCTCTTCCCCTCCCACAGCTGGTGTCTGAACAAAAAGCAAGCTGCCCTGCACCACATGTTTCCAATCTCGCCTCTTTTCCTCTGCCCATCAAGCATATGCAGGCATCAGGCGCACAGAAGCATTCTCTCTGATGGGTATCAGAACTTTGTAAGCTACTCCCAGCTCTGTCTATAATGTCTCAGTACACACCACCTGAAAAGTCTTCAATCCAAGAGACATCTTCAAGTATTTTTAAGACAAACTGATTTACAACTGTCTTTATAAAGGAGACTAACAAAGTGATCTCAGGCTCTGCTTTTGCCTCCTAAACTGCAGCCTCTGCCAGTTATTCTGTACCAAGTTCTTCCTGTACCACTTCAGATTTAAACCACCACACAAAGTTACCAAATACTGTATTTTCCTGTCCACCACCTTTAATACAACATATGCTGCCACAGCTGTGAATACAGACAAAGTATACAAAAGCTCTTCTCCCTTCTTGGTATCTTTTACGTGTTGGATAAATGTTGGTATCAAACACTATATAATTATTTGTTTACAGGCAATAAATAGCATATCCATTTCCATTTAATGTTTTTGGAAGTTTAGTGTAATAGAATCATTGTTAGGGACAGCATGCTACAGAAGTCTGGGATAAGGTATACAAGCAGGATCCCTTCAAGTAACAACTAAGTACACATGGAAGTGGGTTTACAAGCATATAGAACTTCACATGTAAAAAATATTTATACATTGGCAAGAACAGAGTCTAGAGAAGCCCGAGAAAAGAAGGCTATGTTTGAATTTTATGAGAAAGCAATGAAACCAATAGGAAAAAAAGTATTTAAATAAAATTAAAATGTCAATATTAACAGAACAAATTCCACCAAATAAAAATCCATGAACAAGATGAGTTCTAAGGACTCTACAAATAAAGTGTGTCATAGAAGTTTAAGAATAAGACGTATTTTCTTTGCCCTACTATAACGTTATACTTAAATACACCATTATTCTCTCAGATCTTCAATAACAGTTCTGTAAATGTCTAACTATGATTTTCGATTCTCAAAGGAATATCTATGTAACAATACTGGTGATCCGAAGTGCATTGATTAAAGCACCAATTTTACTACAAGATAATTAAAAATTCATTTCAGCAATAGAACAAACCAGCAGAATAAAGAAATTAAGAAATACAAGTATGCAGGTAGGCACAGCGAAAAATACTCTTCAATGCAATGATTAATACTGTGGCATATAATAAATAGTTCTTTATTAAACTTATGGCTTCTTTGATGGCATCGCACTTTTCTCTTTCTGTTTAGCAGCCTTCTCCTTTTTCAGCTGTAACAAAGAAAGACACCAAAAGTAGTTCAAGTATTAGTTTGCAAGTCAGCTAGTAATGCAAGATTAAATCTCTACATCCAGTCACAACTTTAAGAGTGATATATGCAGTGGAGAGAGCTACAGATAATTATCAGCCCAACCTAGCATTACTTACTGTTGTACTGTAGGACAAAGGAGCTCTGCCATAGCTCTGCAGCTCCTTCCCTATTCAAACCAGGACTGCCTTTATCTCTGATAATGGCAATCTAGGTATTTATATATCCCTCAAGGCCAATGTGCCTCACAAATGTTCACAGGTTTATCTTTACGTCAATGAAAGGTAAAGAAGCTTTATTACAGGTGTGTAATAGACACAGTTAGACTAACCAGCATGCACAAAATCACAGGGGAAGTCTGTTGCTGACGTAGAGATGCTAAAGCTCCATCCCAGTGTCTCCTCACTGACCCACGAGGTCATGCCTTCCTCTCCTAATGTTTTTTCTACACAGTAGGCTCTTACAGCATGTTCTGATTTACATATACATTTAAATCTGCCATTTTGTAGTAAGACTATTAATACATACAAATATATCTATTGGGTTTAGAAGCAACAGTTCTCACGTATTGTTAAATCAGTGGATGACGTTCTATTTAGAAGAATCATATAAAAGGAATGCATGGACTTTTTCCTCTCATGTAACATAAGATATCTTGTTGCTATCAAAAATGCAAGAAAATACAAAATAGTATATTTGAAATGCCTTTTTTTTTCCTCAAGAAATAGTGTCAAAACCAAGCAAGGCCCCAGTCCTGATTTGGATGTCTACAGATGAGCTCACTGCTAAGCAATTCTGTTGTTGGTCTACACAGGAACTCATTTTAAAACATTTTTCCATATTTGCAGGCTTGTTTCCTACTACCTTTTGCAAAGAAAGTAAAATCTTGGGGGGGAAAAACATGGCAATTTGGATTTGCTAATAACTTGTTTTCTCCTATAAACTGATAATGCATTTTTAACAACTTACCACATTTTGTGATGATTTCCAAAACAAAGAAAATTATTAAAAATTTCACAGCGCTAGATCAGCTTTCTCATTAACAAATGCCGTGTTGCAAGCAGCAAGGATAACAGCAGTTAAGGTTTTAAAAGTTAATTATGCAATATTGCCTTACAAAAAAATTCATAAACAGTCAAGACACGCTTCCAGCTGAGATGAGGGAGCTAAGGAGACGATGTGGGGAAAGAACAGGTATTCAAGCATCTTAGTAACCTATACTCCAGAGCATTTATATTTAAGATAGTGGGGTGGAGGAGGCACCTCTAAGGGGTGGTTCTGATCATCTATGAAAGACACGTCAGATTCAGCCCAACTACACAGACATTTGTAAGGAAAAGAACATCACAAAGTTCTATAAAGGAGGCAGCAAACACACATTCCTAAATGTCACAGGGGACTTTCTGTGAGTCTGCTGTGTTGTTTCTTTTTGTCACATAGTAATGGAGAGTTACCTGAATAAACATCTGTTCAGTTAAGGTAAATGCCATCCCAGACATGACTGACGTCTGAAATCCTGCAATCACTCATAATTGTATTTAAAACTTTAAGTGGATAGTGTTTTCTCAGGAAGAGAGAAAATGATATAATGCATTTATATGCCACTTAAATCATGCATTGATCTTTTTTTAGATATCCTCCTGTGAAAACATGTTTGAATTACGCAATAAATGTAGTAACTTGCCCGTTCTTGATAACGTTTCTCAAAGTAAGCCATGTCATCTTGTTCTGAACACTTTCCATGAGAAACTTGCCTTGTGCCACTAGAACCACCTGAAACATAAAAACAAAACCCCACCTTTTTTCATTAATTATACTTGCTATTCCATTAGTCATGTTTTCTATTTGGCAAAATGGATTTCAAATGAGAACTCGCTTCTACAGGCAAGTAACAAACCCCTGCAATTGGGACCACTCTTTAGTCTAGGCTAGCAGCTATTATAAATAGTCTTGGAGAAGTTCAGCAGTTTTATTGCTAAATTCTTAAACTAAGTAAAGGACATAAAATAAGCATAACCAATCCATAATTCCATGCAGAAAAGAGTTACTGGCAGAAGGCAATTTCACAAGATTGTGCTGAATATGTATAATCCGTTCAGATTTGATGAACTTCTAGTAGGAATTAAAAATTTAAGAAAACTGATCCAATGAATAAGTGACACCATTAATGGGGAAGATACCAAATTTCAGGGGGGAAAAAAATCATTAAAGGTTAAAAAGCTCATCATGAGCAAAAATAACAAGCAGTAACAAAAGTTATTCTAAGCATTTCAGCTACATGAATGTTCTACAATTTTTCACGTAACATGGCTTCAATGCTCATTTTCAACTTTGATTTTACAATTAAGCATTCTTCACCTCTTAAATAAAACCAGTTAATTCTATATTAAATACTTCTTGTAAAATAGTATTATCCTACTACTATAGCACCTGCTATCTGTGGGATGGTTTGAGCAGAACTAGAAGGTTCCTGAAATGCTCTGAGAAATGGATGATCCATGCTGGTAACGGGGGATTCTAATAGTTCAGCAGAAGGAGTCCCTGTTGGAAAACGAGTTGAATGAAAACAAAAATGAAATTCACAAGAACATGACAGGTTCACAAGAACATGACAAGGCTACAGCTTCAGATCTACAACACTCACTGCAGACCCTCTATACTTCAGTTAACAAAAGCATAACAGAGGATAGCTTCAAAAGAAGTGAAAAACTGTTTCTTTAATGACTATGACTATGCTATAGTTTCTGAACTTCAGGCAAATCCAGGAAAACAGGCCAGAATTTAAAAAAGAAATAATGAGTCCATGGCAGTAATAAGTAAAAGAGCATTTCAGGACAAAATGCGACAGTTACTAAATGACACAAAATCACAGAGCAGCAGGCGTATCAAGGCCAACTAACATGCCTGTCAGAAAGTTCTACACATGACCTTTTTGATGCTGAACAGCTATTAACCTTTGAGTCTGGAAAAAAAACCCAAAACTTTAACTGTATAACCAAGAAACACCTGGGCAGTATCAGACCAAAAGACTAACATAAGTCTAATATTGAACTATTAACAGAAAAACAGAAGTGACAGAGATCTTTCCAAAAGATATGATTCATTTCAACCAGAAAGTACTGGGCTGAACACCAGACTTGTTGATAAAGAGGTTTTTCATCAATTCACTACAGGAAGTTGGACAAGACGGTCATAGTGATCTCTTCACACCTAAGGACTGCTAGGGGAGAAGAAAAATCTGGCTGAAGTCCTACCTGTATTGATCCAGTTTGCCTCTGAACTTTGAAAATCTATGTTGAATTACTACGTTTCAGACAACTAACTTAGAGAATTAGAATTTCATGTCAGCTCAGTTGCACTTACCTATACCACTGTCATCAAGTCTCATGTAGCCTTCTGCTAGTGAACTAAAACCAGTCAGTCCTCCCATGGCAGCAAAAGGAACATCCTGCCCCACAGGCTTTCCTTGGGCTACGCGCTCTTCTTTAGTTTCCACAACTGTTTCATGAGCATATGTTGGCTGACCACATGCACAAGTAAAGCAACTATGAAAGCCCGAACACTGGGAACCTGATTAACAAAAACGTAACTGTAATAAGATAATAATACAATTTATGCATCACTGCAGACAAAACAGTGTTTCCCTAAACTGACCCTGAAAAAACTAGTATTCTTTCACTGCAAAAGCCTCCAGCTATATGAAAATGCTGTATAAAACAGGAGAAAGGATGAATGTGGGGATTTGATCATAGGAGTTGTCCGTTCTCAGGGTGTCATTCAGTCAAGTTTTAAGTACCTCTGAGGATGGAGAATCCATCTCTCAGAGCAGCCCAAACCAACAGTGGTCCTCCCTTGGAGCAGACATTTCTTTCCTAATATCTAACTGGATTTCCTGTGTTGTGACTTGTGTCCATTGCCATCAGTAACACCCTTCTCTGTCCCTCCCTTGACAAAAGATGAGAAGAACAAAACTTCTGTCACTGGGTCAAGCAGCCAACCTGCCAGCATTCTGGCAGTATTATCTCTAAAGGTGTACAGCACGTGTCAATGTTGCATGGCCAGAAAATTTCAAATCACAATTTATGATACAAATCACAGTTTAAATGCCTTTTACAAATAGCGAAATCATCTAGGTAGTAAAGAGAGGCTGTGGCAGCAGCAAAATGGTTTCTAAGGAAAAGTAGCATTAGACTGGCTTTCAGGTTTTTTTTAAGCCTCAGGATGTAACTGAAAGCCAGTCTAATGCTTACTCTTCCTTAGAAGCCATTTTGCTGCTGCCACAGTATACAAGTCACATGTGACATTGAGAAACACAGAGTGAAGTGAGATATCTGCCCTAGCTACAGCTAAGTCTATCATAAAAGCCCTGCTGGAGCAATAATGTGAACAAGAAATAGAGGAACTGATTTTTGCACGTTTCATTATACAAATTACCCTGCTTCTAACTCCCGGTTACAGTTCATTTTGCAAAGCACCAATAAAGATTTTTTAAGTCTTGTGTAGTATGTTCAAGGATCACATTCTTGGAGTGTTGAAAAGCTTTTTCATATACTTTTGGGCACTCCTCAGTAAGAGAGCTCTTACTCTGTGTTGGGATACAGAATAAAATATATACAATATATAAAAGGCAACAGTGGTATTTTTTTAAATTATGATTTTCCTGTCATGTTAGATTTATGCAACACTGGGCTAGACTAGTACCAGTACATTAAATCAACACAAGTCCAAAATGGAAGTTTTAGCTGTTCTCTGTCTAATCTGTAAAGCCCTCAGAAATGCCCAGTATTTTTGAGAAACACTAGAAAAAGTGTGCAATGTCAATCACAGAAATCACAGATTTGTTGAGGTTGGAAGGGACCACCAAGGGTCATATAGGCCAGCCTTCCTGCTCAAGCAGGGTCACCTACAGCACACTGCTCAGGATCATGTCCAGATGGCTCTTGACTATCTCCACGGAAGGAGACTCCACAGCCTCTCTGGGCAACTAATTCCAATGCTGAGTCACCCTCACAGGAAAGAAGTTCTTCCTCATGTAGTGATTAATTATTATTAGAAACACTGTGTTTAAGGATTCAGTCTGAATCATCCAACTGCACGTTTAAGACTTTCACATTACTTAGAGCAAATTCCTGAAAGGCTGTCATATAAATATTTAATGTTTTAATTCTGTGGGATGTGATTCTCATCCAGCAACAGCTGTTTACAATCTTTCCTGAACAAATTAGACACATTTCATGAAATAAATTTACTACTAGTAGGGAAGGCCAAGTTGGACGGGGCTTTGATCAGCCTGGTCTAGAAGAAGGTGTCCCTGTCCATGGCACGGGGGTTGGAACTAGATGATCTTTAGAGTCTGTTCCAACCCAAACCATTCCATGATTCTGTGAACCCCAGCAAAAAAAAAAAAAAAATCTTCAGTTTACGTAATTTGAGGTTTCAAACTAAAACATCTTTATGCATTATTTATTTTTGATAGTTAATAATTGCTGCTGTTTCATTATAACAGCTTGAACAACTGAAGCAAAAAGTTTCCTCTTAATGCCTTCTCAAAACTTTTGCTTGAATCTCTATTCCAATTTACATTTCTAGACCCACATTATGCTCAGAAACGGCTTTGTTAAAGTGCTAACAATAGCACTATTTGAGAACAGAGCACTACTTCCTATTGGGTTGAGAAAAGACATAAAAATACATTAACATTATATTCAACCAGGCAACAGAGGAACGGGAATCAACACTTCCCTCTGTCAAACTACCAAGTTCAAGTAGAATAATGTCATCTGCGTGCAGCAGTGGAAGTGACAAACTGCAAATGGGGTGCTTTATACTGACTAACTTTAGGTGGCTGTCTCCATCTGTACCTAGTCGAATCATTCAGACACTTACACTCCTTCACAGGACTTGGGGAAGCTAAGGATGTTGTTCTTACAAGCCCTCCTGTGCAAAAGGCGATGTCTTCTTTCCCATCTCACATCCCTCCATCACTGACAAGTGCAGCGCATACTTAATACTCTGAGCAGAATACAGATCCCTAACACTGTTCCTGTTAAGTTTCCTTGCAAAGAACACTGCGAGCCCATCAGTAACTTACAAGAGTTACATGAAAATCCAGGTGCTGCACTGTGTTGGTCAGCAAAGTGTTTGCATCTGCAACGGATGGGCTGTGTGCCATTTAGAGGGACGTAGTGGTAGGACCGGCATGGACAACGGCTCACTCTACAAGGCACACAAATAGGACGGTCTTCGGGAATCACTTCATAGTCTGTTTTGTGTTGTTTATACCTAAACCAGGTAAAAATAACAACTTTTATAACTTCGTTAGTATTTTACAGAAGAGTGACAGGCTTATCTGTTTTGAAGTATCTTGATTTTTATTAACTACTGTTAATAGTTACTTATCAATTAAAGGCATAATATCAGGTGCTTTTACATCCATTCATCACATAAATATCACAGATGCTTATGTTTCATTTTGAGAGATCAGAATTCTGATATTGATCAGAATCAATCTGATCTATAACAGCTCATGCCTTAAAGCTGAATTTATTGAAGACTAAAAAAATAATTTTGGTCTCAAAAAACATATAGTAAGATTTAGATTTAAGAACAGTTCTTATGATTTAAAACCTGATTTTCTCAACCCTTAGACCTTACATTAGCTTGCCTATACTGCACTGCAGTGTACCTGGAAATATCTCACATTTTCCTGGTTTTTAAAACTACAGTAGTGCAAAAAGCAGAAGAGAGACCTACCGGTGAGTACAAAAGCACAGTGTCTCCGGTCCCACAAGCTTACAGTCCATGCCGGTTGGTGATCTCCAGCTCACGTACAGCCTGTTCTGTAGCCGAATTGGCACAACTTTTCTTTTGTACTCTTCGTATTCCTCAGGGGTAAAGAGCTTTCCTCCATCATCATCACCTACAATTCTTTAAGCATGCATTAAAACACATAACAAAATGAAGACAATAAAAGTAGACTTCTCAAGTTACTTTTTCAATAATGTATAAACCCACATCTGCTGTAAATGAAAATACCCCTCATCTTTCATAATACTGTTCTAGTGATATACATTTAACACAATTATAGCTGATCTTCAGAGGAATTTTTTGAATAATGCTTTTTTAATAAATTTGCTCTGACAGACTGAAAACCAGCTTTGTAAGGAAAAAAAGAACCAAAGCAAACTATGAAGCTCCTTTTCATACAGCTGAAAAAGCAACAAGCATCAAGGGTTGTGTAAGCAGCCAGCTCTGCCTCAGGCATTTTGAATGACTTCTTGCAAGTCATTTTGCCCATCTATACCTAACCCTACAGCAGATTTTTATCAGGTTATCTAATCTTAGTCTAGAGTAAGGTTATTCAACTCCAAGTAGGTAGCCACACTGCCATGAAAGTAACAAACAGTACATTCAAGCTGGCTTCTGATTTGCAAGAACACCATACTATTTCTGTAGATAAAGTTGACAGCAGTTGTATCCTACACCTCACACAGGCCTATTTGTTTGAACTATCACTACACTCAAATTCCAGGTCACTGAATAGCTGGAACTCCAGAGAAGCATCCAAATTCCTGATTTATGGAGACAACTGAAGACAGTAAGTAAAATCTGTAAAATACAATTCAGACTTAATTGCAGCACTTACCTATACTGAAGATTAGTATATTAATGCATGTAAATATTTCAGTTATTATTTGTTGGGTGTGCTAAAACATGCGGAGTGATTCTTTGTTGAGTATTTCTGTGGGTTTGTACATTGCCAGTACCGTGCAGCACCAGAATGATGTGCCAACACATCACTGTCATTTGCACGTCAATCCAGCTTGACATCCACTGATTCAGTAACTACTTATGTAAGAAACACCACTACGGTGTTTTACTGAAGATTTTCTTAAGCTAAATTAAGACCACATTTCAATAGAATCATAGCATCGTTTGGTTTGGAAGGGACTTTAAAGATCTAGTTCTAACCCCCCCAGACAGGGACACCTTCCACTAGACCACGTTGCTCCAAGCCCCATCTTGAACACTGCCAGGGATGGGGCAGCCACAGCTTCTCTGGGCAACCTGTGCCAGCGCCTCAGCACCCTCATATTGAAGAATTTCTTCCCTATATTCAACCTAAATCTCCCGTTTAAGTTTGAACCCACTGCCCCTTGTCTTACCACTACAGCCCCTGAGTTCATGTTTATTTTCACACAGCTCTTCAAGAGGAGCAATGACAAGGTGAGCACAGACGCACAGGGGTGCGGGGCCACGTGTCTGTACACTGCAAAACCTCATTCGTGGTGCATGAAGTCCCTGTTTCCCGAGGCAGAGGTACAGCCGGCGGGCAGCCCCGCACTCCACATCTCACAGCACGCCGGCGGGCTGGCACGTACGGAGGCCTGGACCGCGGACACGACGCGTTCCTGCCCTCGCAGGCAGCGGCATTCGCAGCGCGGCTTCACA